CCGGTGAGATTTGAACAGCCGAACTGCAGAACTGCAGTCAGCTGAAGTAGCCTGCCTGCAGTGCTGCATTTAACCACTGTGCCACCTCGGCTCATAATTTCTCATAATTTAAGCTGGAGATGGAGTTTTCCAGTGCCAGTGCAACATCTTGGTTCTCTGACTTGCATTCTTGGCAAAGAGTATGCAATCTAATATGCCTTTTTTTTATGCTAGTGCTCATTGCCCACAGAGAAGTATTACTGATATTTTTTTAGTAGCACACTGAAACAAAAGTAATCTGTATTTTAGAATTGAATGAAAAACATAATTCTGAACATGCTTCACGATCACATTTTTCACTGAGTTCTGAAATGCAAATTACTTTATTTTCAACATGTTATTAAAGACATAAAATATTTCTCTACGGGCAATGAGCACTCATACCAAAAGCAAAAACACTCCAGACATTTCAGATTGCATACTTTTTGCCAAGAATGCAAGTCAGATAATAGCTACCTACAGCCTCTAATTACAGAGAATAGCTAACTTCAGATTTGATTAAGCAAATCACATTTGCAGTTAATTCTGGTATAAGATGGAAATATGCAGGCCGCTTTTGAAAATAAGATGAATGTGGAAGAGGTAAAGCACAAGTATCTGAGGGAAAGGAAACTGTAAGACTTCATCCAGAGCAGTGGTTTTTCAAACTTGGCAACTCTAAACATGCTGGAGAATTCTGGATGTACACATCTTAAAGTTGCCAAGTTTAAAGTCTGCCCTAGAAGATCATGATCTCCACTTCGCTTCATGGCAACTTTGAAGCATTCATGGAACAGTGGCAATACCCAGGGTGTCTTACGCTCCATGATCATTAAACATCTAATTGTAGTTATGTTTAATGAAGTTTCTCCTTTATAATTAGTACTATATTACTATAACATGACTACTGCCCATGTTTCCCAGAAAAAAAAGACTGTGTCTTATATTAATTTTTGCTCCAAAAGACACATTAGGCCTTGTTTTCCAGTTAGGTTTTATTTTGGGGGAAATACAGTATTAAGTGCAACTGTTTGGCTGTCAATCTCAACTGGGTCTTATTTTGGGAGCAGGGCAGTGGTGGGTTGCAGGTGATACACCCCAGTATGGGCTTACCAGAGCCTGCCCGGAGCACTGGATACTGTTCCGGTACGGTGCTCCGGAAGGCCCACCCGCCTGAGCTCCTTACCAGTCTTTTAAGTCTTCGGTGCTTCGCTGAGCAGCTGAAGTGTCGCAGAGGCTCGCGGAAGCAGTAAGACGATGCCAGGCCCGTTCCAACTGTACTGGTTTGAATGGGATCCAGAACCCACCACTGGGGCAGGGCTTATATTATGAGTGTCCTGACAAATCGTGCTAGGGCCTATTTTCCAGTTGGGTCTTATTTTGGGGAAAATACAAAATAATGGCCTTGTATTCTTAGCACCTATAATTATTTCTTTTCATAATATTGAGAAAATCTGATTTTTCACATCATTCATTTTAGATAAGTCATTGTCTCTTCATGTATAATGCATTTCAGAAAGAAGCAGGTAAGTTGTAATTTTTGTGCGAAACAAAATACCTGGGCATCATTTGAGGCTCCCAGAAGCAATGCTAAATGAGTAAGCAAGCGAATCAGAATTAGGACAGCAGGAGACAACTCCCTCTCCGATGTGATCACTGGATCCCTTTTCCTAGGATCTCCAAGTATGTGGCCTGTCTGTGTCTTGTCCTCACTATTGCTGCAAAGATATCATGGAAATTTGCACATTTTAAAATTATTTTACAATGATTTCCAGATAATGAGAATTATAACTAAATATTTGTCATCCAAAATTGGGTAGATAAAGGTAGTCCTCAACTTATCACCATTCATTTAGTGACTATTCGAAGTTACAACAGCATAAGTCAAGCATAAGTTACAACATAAGGTGGAAAAAAGCGACTTATGACCATTTCCACACTTACGACCACTGCAGCATTTTCATGATTACATTATCAAAATTCGGACGCTTGGCAACTGGTTTATATTTATTATGGTTGAAATGTCTCAGGGTCATGTGATCACTTTTAGTGACATTTTGGCTAGTGAAGTCAATGGGAAACCAAATTCACTTAACAACTTTGTTACTAACTGTAATGATTCACTTAACAACTGTGGCAAAAAATGTTGTAACGTGGGGCAAAACTCACTTAACTGTCTTGCTTAACAACAATAATTTTGGACTCAATTGTGATTTTAAGTGAGGACTATCTTTATATTATGCAATACACACAAAGTTGTAGCAATATTTACTTTCTCTAAAGAACCTGCAAACAAAATTAATACATTTTACAACTGCTGACGTAATCCTAGCAAGCATCTTAAACATTTTATTCGTTTTGTTTAGGGATGAGATGGGATAGTTCATGAGGGAATAGAATACACTGATACAGAGAAATGTCAGGAGAAAGGGGACACAATAGAAACTCCTAATCAGTCAAGATTATCTTCTGATCTTCATGTTAATATTGTTGAATTCATAATGAGGTGTGACAGGTACCTCTAACTATGAATTCTAAATATTCCAGTTAGAGAGAAAAGCATCCACAATGACTAGTAAACTAAACTTTCAGATCTCTAGAAAGCAATGATTAGCCACTCTTGATGTTACATAGCAAATCAGGAGTTTAATGGAGACTTTTGTTCTTTTGACTCCCCCTTGGAGCACTATCAATCTCTTAGGCCAGCGGTTCTCAATCTGTGGGTCGCGACCCCTTTTGGGGTCGAACGACCGTTCCACAGGGGTCGCTGGGACCAGCGCAACTCTAAAGTTTAGACTCCACCTCGCGTTCCTTGAAATCCCTGCGGATGGGCGTTGCCGCAGTTCCACGCTGTAAAAAACATAGGTGCACGTACACACCCCGTACAATTAGCCTCGGAGACTTCGTAATGGCAGGAAAGTGATCCCGCGAGGGAGGAAGGGGCTTAGGTCCTGCTCTGGGCTGTAACTGCACGGGGTGTACACACGGCTATGTTTTCCACGCTGCTGCCAGATACTTTTAACTATATCTAAATCCACAACCAGACCTGTTATCAAGAGGCAAGCTCAGGAGCCCGAATTGGCCCCATTCACACAATGAACACCTGCTTACTAAAAGTACCATAAACCACGCACAAAGGAAAAGAGAACAAAACAAAATGCAATGCAAGTAAACAATTTAAAAAATGATACAAGTGGAATTATTATTAGAAATCAAATGTAACAGAGAAAATGATATGTATGAAAATATAAAGTTGGGTTTCCTGAAATGCCACCCTGAGAACCCATCAAAGAAAGTAAATAAGCAAGGGCAACAACAGGAAGGAGGAAAGATGAGGAGGGAAAGGAAGAAAGGGTAAAGCAGAGGGAGTAAAGGAGGGGAATCAAGAGTAGGAGAGAGGGTAAGAGGGAGGAGAAGAGAGGAGGAGGGGAGGAAAGAGAGGGGGGGGGGAAGAAGAAGACATTTTATGGTTGGGGGTCACCACAACAGGAGGAACTGTATTAAAGGATTGCGGTGTTAGGAAGGTTGAGAACCACTGTCTTAGGCAGTGGTGAAATCTTTTTTTTTTTTTACTACCGGTTCTTTGGCCGTGGCTTGGTGAGGTCATGTGACTGGGTGGGCATGGCTATATAACTGGGGGATCAAAAGGCAGAAACTCACAATGTCCTGCTGGAGTAGGGTTGGACTAGATGACCTCCAGGTCCCTTCCAGCCCTGGATTATCCTCTAAAGCTGCTTCTAGTGCCAGGTTTGTAGTCCTTCCTTCCTCTCCTTTTTCCCTCCCTCCCTCTTTCTTTTTCTTTTTCCCCTCCTTTCTTTCTTTCTTAGCACCCCCCCTTTTTTGTATTTTTTACTACCGATTCTATGAACCAATAGCATTTTTTACTACCGGCCCAAACTGGTAGCATTTCACCCCTTAGGGCTTTAAAGAGTAACGCCAGCTCCTTAAACAACTAGACATGTGATATAGATAATCCATGATTTAATGACCACAATTGAGCCCAAGATTTCTGTTGCTAAGTGAGTTTTGCACCATTTTACGATCTTTCTTGCCACAGTTGTTAAATGAATTGCCAAAGTTGTTAAATGAATCACAGTTGTTAAGTTAGCAACATGGTTGTTAAGTGAATCTGGCTCCCCCATTGACTTTTGCTTGTCAGAAAATGTTGAAAGGGAACCATATGATCCCGGGACACTACAACCATCAAAAATATGAGCCAGTTGCCAAGCGTCCGGATTTTGATCACATGACCATGGGGATGGCTGCAACCATCGTAAATGTGAAAAATGGTCATGTCACTTTTTTCAGTGCTGCTTTAACTTTGAATGGTCACTGAATGAATGGTCGTGGGTCAAGGATACTCGTATTATGACAAGGTTGCTGATTCTGAATGATTTGACAAGATTGCTGATTCTGAATGATTTGGGGAGCTGTTGTTGTTTAATTGTTTGAGCATTCTTCTTTAAATATGTCAATATCTGTGTGATGGTTAAAAACTACAAAAGGGGTGGGGTGGGGGAGCAACGTCTGATTTCCAGAAGAGAGAAAGCGTGAGTTCTCAGGGAAGTTTTCCATAGATTTTGGAATTGGAGAAGTAAAAGCAAGCCAAGAAAAAACAGGGTAACCATTTTGTCACAAGGAAAAAATAAAAATAAAAGGGGGTTACAGAAGAAGACAGTAAGATGGGGAATAATAATGCAGGAAGTACTCAAGTGAAATAAATAGATTTTGCTAAGGAAATGGATACTACAGGAGAAAGATTTCTGATAGCCTCCGATTTCCTATGTATTCATACAAAGAGTATAATAACACAAACCAGTCCTTTGTCATTTTATAACAATAGGGATAACATTAAGATAACACTCAAAACTATGCAGATAAAGACTGTTGGAATTTCAGATAATGAAGGCTTCAGAAAATAAAAGTACAACTTCCTATATTTTATGCAATAGTTCTCCACCAGAATGCAGACTGGATTTACAGGATGATGATGTTTCCCCAAGAACAGAAACAGGATAGGGCATCACAATGCATCATTAGAGAATGAAAGTCTATCTGGGCTGAAAGCACCCAATTTATGGGGTACACAAGGCAACATGTTCCCCTTGAGAAAGAAACTAGTGAGGAGATTTCAAGATTTCTTTCTGCGCCAACTCAGATAGCTCAAACTGTCCAAAGAGCTTCTGATTCAGTTCTACAGTGGAATTAATAAGTATGTCATCTGCACCTCTATAACTGTCTGGTTTGGCTCTGCAACCAAACAAGACAAGCACAGACTTCAACGGATTATTAGAACGGCAGGGGAAAAAAAACATTGCTACCAACCTGCCTTCCACTGAGGACCTGTACATTGCACAAGTCAAAAAGAGGGCTGTGTAAATATCTACAGACCCCTCACATCCTGGACATAAATTGTTTCAACTTCTACCCTCAAAACGACGAACTCAAAACCTTTCCAATATTTGTAGATCAGGGTTGAAATGAGGCATCCTTGATGTTCTCTGACCTTGATAGTTGTCTTGCAGATGGTTTCTTGTAGACATTTTTTTGCAGTTGTTACCTAGTTTGGGTAATGAAATATCTGCAAGACAACAGCCAAGCTCAGAGAGCACCAAGAACTCAAGGCTCTATTTATATCTATCCCTTTGGGTGATTCCTTTTCATCACATTATAAATGATGGTGAACTGACTTCAGACGAAAAAGAAATTAGGAGATTAGGTATAGTAGGATCACAATTAGCTAGAGCTACTCAGAATGAAAACTGACATTAGGAGTCCATAGATGATATTCAATGTCATTTTGCCAGGCAGGAAAATTATATGTGTACACAAAAGATCAATAAATGACAGATCTTTTCATCAGCATTTACAAATAAAATTCCAAGTTGAAATTCAAACCTTGCTCTTTGGAAGTTTGCCACTGCCCTGTGGTTATCACCTCCAATTGGAACACCACAATCAGCACAACGACTACGTTCCATAGGTTGACCACACTGGGTGGGGGGGGGGAAGCAAATATTATAAAACAGAGAATGAAAATAGTTCTTCACTATTTCAGTTAAGTCCAACTAGTATGTGATTAGAATATCCTTTTTAAATTATTAATCATGGTAATGATTTTGACTTAATTGGCTGTTGCCTTAAGACATATATAATATTGAAGAAAACATAAGAGCTAAGCCAATTATAAATGCAGAACAATCTCCCCCTCCCCCTCCATTTCTTACCTCTCCAATAAAACAGGGATGACCATTTGGACATTCTGGTTGTATAAAGAAAGCAAAAAGTAAATCAGTAAATACTGTCAGTAATTCTAAATTATTCTCAGGATTTATAATTATAATCAGACTTCAAAAAGCTAATGACATTGTAAAAAAAGGTATATAAAACAAAAGGGAAAAAAGACATTCAAGATGCAGATAACATGCCATACTTTTCTTAGCTAATTACCAGAAAGATTGCCTGTGAAATCTTCAAGATTAATATTTTTTTAACTTTGGTTTCTACTTTTAACTTGTACCTTTTAACCTTGTACTTTAATCTTTTTAATCTATGCTTTTATTCGTGTGTGTTTATTGTTTTATTATGACCCACAGTCTCTTAAATGAGACAATCATTATAGAATAGTCTGTTTTTTGAATCTTCAAAAACAGCAATGTCATATGAAATGGAAGTACAGTAAATATGAAAGCTGCATATTAATCTTTAGCATTTATTTCTTAGGAAGAAATAGGAGAACTATTCAGGGAAATGTATATACTTGTTCTGTAGAAACCAAGTGCAACTGATAAATGTTTTGTACATCAATACAGCAGCAAGACTGAAAGCATTTTTTCTATTTTTCTCCAATTAAAATAGCATCTAAGCAAAATAACACTTTAACAACAAACTCTATATATTGCATGATGAAAACTACTTTTAAAAATACATTTTGCTGGCTGCTTTCAGAGATGGATTGCACCAATTTTGCAGATTATCACTGTATCTTTTACATGGCGTTGATATGTAGGATCAGAAAACAATTGGTTTCAACGGAGCAGGTTTGTGTTTTGGAGCTCAGTAATGCCTTTATCTTGCATTTAGGCTTAATTTCCATTTTACATGCTTTAGCTTGCCCTTGTATGAAATGGTCTTTTATGACTACCCATTCTCTTTGTGGCTGTGAATTTGTCCATAGTTCTCTCCTCCATGCCCAAAATTCCTATGACATTTTCTTAAAGATCATCATGTAAGTCACAAAGCTAAGACATTTGAAGACCCTCACAAAAATGGAAATTACTATAACTTATGAAAATATGTTCCTGGAAAATAGCAACGTTTATTCAGACCTATACTCTGGAGAAATCTGTCATGACTTTCCCATCATATACTTCCAAAGGTTGATACTCACTATACCAATGAACGTTTCCCTTTAATTTCCACGTCATAGCTTGAGCCAACATGTCTTCTGGCATGGTTGGCAGAAAAGCATTCTGGTGAAAGGACAGATGGAAAAATTGTGATGGAAAAATAATACACAGTGATCAGTTTCTTTAGGACTGCCTGATCTAACTAATCTAAACTCATTTTTTCATTAAAAAGTAAACACTGACAATCATCTCAAATTGTAAAGGTATAAATAAACAGAAGGGGAAACTAAGAAACAAGCTACAGTGGGACCTAGGGTGCTGACTGTAATCTGTTCCAGGACTTCGATTGGCACCTGATGTGGTTGTGACCAGAAGCAAGACTGACTGTGCATGCGTGCGCACATAAAAAATGGTGTGGAAGGTGAAATCACTGCAGCAGGGAAATCACCGTGACTGTGTTTATTTGGCACCCGAGGATGTGTTCGTGACGTGAGTGAAACATTTAGCGGATGTTTCAGGCGGCATCCGAATTGTCCGTGGTCTGAGCCATTTGGGATCTGAGGTCCCAATGTAGTATGCCATGTAGTTTGCCATGGTGGCACAGTGGTTAGAATGTAGTATATTGTCCTCATTGCAAGAGGTTCGATCCTGACTGTCTCAAGGTTGACTCAGCTTTCCATCCTTCTGAGGTCAGTAAAACAAGGACCCAGATTGTTGGGAGGGGGGGGGGTAAAATGCCATCTCTGTAAACCACCTAGAGGGGGCTGCAAAGCACAATGAAGCAGTATATAAATCTAAGTGCTATTGCTATTTTCCAGCATTACCTCTGAAGAGAGTCTGAAAGGTTTAACTGGCATGGTTTGCAATTTATTAACCAGTAAAAGATCCTGAAATTCCATTGTACCTATATCAAATGTTTCATGAGCGTAATTTAAGCAGTTGGTATTTATATTTAATGCTTTAGATTAGTGTGTTTCCGAAGAGAAGGTGTGGGAGGAGTAACCATTGGGTATTAACCTAATCTTGATTGCCTATTGGAGATTGAGGAA